GTGATGTAGGATAAGTCTGAAAACAGCAAACCAATACTGAACGTAGAAATTGGCGGACTTTTAAGAAGTGATCCCAAACCATATCAGGATCATCAGGCCTGAAATCGAGAAACAGAATTTTAGAAAATGTACATTTTTAAATCACCAAATAAAAATAAACTTATTACTTGTCTGTGTTTCTTTAACAGGCATGTTGGATAAAGCTGTCATATTCCTGGCACGAGCTATACTGATTTCAAAAGGTACTTTATATCCTGGTTCATCAAAAAACTGGAAAAACTTGACGGGCAAGATTAGGACGAAACTGTGTTGCCACCAGCCACCTGGATTCAAAAAAATTAACATGAAAAACATTAAATATTTAATTAAAATTTGATAGTACCTTTTTTCTCCAGTTTGAGGGTCTTCATAACTTGTCCTAAATAGTCCATCACCATTTTCTGTAATATTTCCTGAAAATTCCAAGTACAATTCACAATGAGCTCCACGTTGCAATTTTTCACTGAGGTTTATGATGTAAACTGGTCGTTTTGGATGTCGTTCTGTGCTCAATACTGTTAACGTACTTGAAGGCGACTTTGTTGGCGAAGGCCTGGACCTTGAACAATATCAGTGATAAATTTGGGCAATCATAAAAAACAATATTCCAAGGAATACAAAGCTCCGTTTGAAGTTTTTGACTTGTACTCACGCATTTATGCTCCTGATTTTCACAGAATCATGTACGATTTGCAGATCAGGATGAGCATGGAGAACAACTTTATTTGCTTCACTTTGCCATGTGACATTTACTTTAACGGTACCAGAAAAAGTACCACGTACAATATCAGGAATTAAGGCTAAATGGTAAGAATCTGGTGAAACTTCTCGTGGTAACTTGGCGTCTGATATTAAGGCATGGGCTGCTGGTAAATCTATACTTCTTCGGAACTGAATAAAGAAATAAAATTGATTAATGAAAAGATAATATAAAAATATAATTCTCACAATTACAGTTATCATCATATATTTTCCATAAGTTATTCAAATGTGTAATGTATATATACATTGCATTAGAATGTTGTACTCAACTACTATAGCAAACATGCAATTTGCTCTTTTGGGGCACACTTGAGCAATTTTTGTGCTAAAATCTCAACTTTATAGCATTTTTATTACAGTTTGCAATAAAAATTTGTCAACTAATATGCTGGTAGGTACTTGAAGATTATCAAATCCGAACAAACAAGGACTTTTTATTCAATATAAATAGACAAGCAAATCTAAATATTCACCACAAACAGTAACCATGTTGACTGTGACACATTTTATTATTTACTCAAGTTTTGTGGGTGCCATTATCAGTGTACCTGTATCGATTACACCTGATCGACAGAGTACACTTGAAAATACTGCAACTGCTTTACAAATATTGACGGCTTTTAATAACATGGCTTTGGCGTTTCAAAATTTCGGAAATGCAGTATCTAATATATTTAATCCGACCCAATCGCCTATAGAAAATTTGGTTGGATCACTAACTACAACGACAAGGAATCCAATTGTAGAGGGATTTATATCAGGAGTTCAACAAGTTGGAAATAATATTCAGCAAGTTTTTAGACCGACTACGACGACCAAAAGTCCTTTGGGTGCTCTAGGAGGTCTTCTGGGACAGGGAAGTACTACTAGGGGTCCATTGGGAGGACTTGGAAATATTTTCACGACTACAACAAAAAGTCCTTTGGGAGTAATTGGAGAAAATATTGGAAATGTCGTGAGACCTCCTGGATTAACTGGATGAATAAATAGAAGTTTTAAGAAATAATTTATAAAGGTTTTTATGGAAAATAAATGGTTTATGAATATAGATAAATTGTTTTTTCATCATTAATAAAATCCAATATTAATATCACAATCTCATAATCCAATCAGCATAATGTGAATTTTGTGGATAATTTGAGGAAAACTAATTGCAGGTTTTAAATTTTTATCACAATTTGTAACAATTTTATCACAGTGATATGATTTCAAACAAAGTAAAAAAATATGTTTCGCTTAAGCATTGTCGATTATTATTGCAATATTTGCATATTAATTTAACAAATAAAATACATATTATCAAAACCCGCATGTAGAATCGACACTGAAAAGTAATTAGAACGTTATCGGCTTAATTACACATTGATTGAACTATTCATGTGGGCTAAAAAACAAATCAATGCCTTGACTAATTTCTTATCGTCTTTTTGATAAGAACTAATAATAAATTAGTTTTATTTGGCGTATTCACTAACTACTTTTAGCATTTAATTTAACTACTTAACGAAAGATGGTAAAAATTGCTACCTTTGTGTTTAAATTTTGTTTTATAACAATTCATACACTCGAATGAAATTTAGGATACTGGACAGCAGTATTTAGCAATTTGATTTTTTTTGAAAATATTTATACTACAAATAATTAATATTAGTAAAACATACCCTCCTGATGTCAGCATCTGCACCACTGCTCAAAATCCAGAAGATAGAAACTTTTAAAAAAAGCTTCATTATATGCCAAGACATTTTACTGAAAAATAAAAAATAAATTTAAGAAAGCAATTTAAAAAATAATTTATATATATATATATATATATATATATATATATATATATAACAATCATTTTATTTCTTATAGACATATGTGATAAAATATTTGTATTATTTCTAATAGTATTAGTAATATTCTATAAATTATGCTTCATTATTATTACATTATTAAGTAATTTTAGTTATTATATAGATATTAATTTTGAAATTTCGTACTTTTATTCAATAAAAAAGTGTCAAATTGGGACTACATATGTATGAAAGACTTATTTAAATATAAGTTTAAATTTCTTGGAAACAACTGAGTGGATGTCTGTTAAAAATCTTTTTATTTATAACTAATATTATATTGAAAATTTATTATCTAGGCGCGTCCTCATGTCAAACAATTATCTAGCTTTCTGCAAATATCAGAACAATAATAATTTATTATATATTTGATAAAAATTAATTAATATACGACAGTTAGACATTTTCTGTCAAATATTCGTATTACCTTAATCAGAATTGACGTATTAAATAAATGTGCAGACTTCATAATGAATTATTATTATATTTTGGTTCTAATTTAGTTAAAAAAAATCTATAAGCATGCGTATTAATTAATCTCTGATTAAAATGAATTAGAGGATAAAATTTTGCCAGAATGTGATTATAAATGTGTCAAAGTTATTCATGGATTCGTATCGGTTTGGGTGTTACCAAAAATGCATATTATTGGATATGGTTAGTGTATAATATTTTTTATTATTTATAAATTATAAAAATTAATTTGAAAAGTGTTAACCATTATTTATATATGATCTGTGTTTATAGATTTAAATATATAAATACTAATAAAAAAACACATAAATTAATAAATTGGGTAAAAAAGGAAATTTACCATGTGGTATTTTGGGTAAATTTTGATAGTATACAAGTAGACATATATGTTTTAATTGAAATTAAAATTTGTATTACAAGACTTGGTTAGTGTGTGCTAATTTTTATAATTAACTAAATAATTTTTAATCAATCAAATTAATTTGAAAGTGCTTATTTTTATTTTATACTCTGTGGTAATAAATTTACTTTAATTTTAATTCAAATTTAAAAGCGATTGAGGAAATATTAAATTAGTAAAAATAATTAAAATATAACTTATGTTACAGATTTATGAAATTTTTTTATAATATTTTAATAATATTTATAAATAAACGATATACATTAATACATATTAAGTAAAATTTCATTTGATTTTAATTAAAATTCAATAGTGCATGAAGTAGTATTAAATTAGTGTAAATAATAATAATTTAAAATTAACTTATGTTATAGATTTTTATGAAAATTATTTATAACATTTTAATAATATTTATAAATAAATAATATACAGGAATAAATATCAAGTAAAATTTTATTTGATTTACAGTAAATATTAAAGTTATAATTTATTTAATAGTATTTCAAAATTTCCCAAAAGTCTAATTTTTTCAAAGTTTTGCACGGTTTTCGGTACTGGAGTTCTAGCAATTTGACTTAAGACACGATGTCATGCACCACTAGTTTTATATTTGTTCAAAATTTTAATTCTCATTAACATTTTTCACTATTTATATCAATCTATTTCTAATTTGCTTTATCTATTAATTTTATAGGTATAGCTATTATTTTACTGAATGCTTATCTGTTTGCAAATGCTTGGCCAAATATGACAAAACCTCACATAACAACATTTACTGCAATAAGTGTTGCGACAGAACAACATCCTTAGATGGCACAACAACACCATCAACATCTATTCAAACAGAACCTTATACTACCGAAAAAGAGACAACAACCATAACAACAACCACAACCACGGAAAAATTCAGTTTTTGTTCAAGCAAAAGCAGGAGAAAGGACGTAGAAGATGTAAGTAGAAAGCTCCTAAAATGCTCCTAAATCTTTGAGGTTTTTCTAACATGCCAATTTTGTTGCTTCTTTTAATATCAATGATTTATTTCATCTTTCAGAGTTGTACTTCCGAAATTTCTGGAAGTGTTTCAGGAGATTATGTAGAGTGGCCTCCTACAAATCATGGAAGAGAATCCTACTCAATACCAAGGTGCGTCAGCCTAAACAAACATTTCATCAAAAGGACTTGTGTTTACCAATGTTGGTTACCACAAGAAGCTTGGCCTTGCCAAGAAGTTCAAGACGTCTACAATTACCACGAACATTGTACATTAACCAGTTTTTATTTCAACGGGCATTGTATAGAAATCTCTTACACATCATGGGAGGAAAGATGCAGGAGCTTAGGAAATGATGAAAGTATTTTACAAAAATCAGAAGAATGGCTTTCTGTTTTATTCGAATATTTGTTATCTGAAAAGTACGATAGGATATGGTTACCCGCAAAACAATTGGAACAGTATGGACCATATGTCTGGTTCTTGCTAGGACGAATGTGGAAAACTCCTGTTTACATCGAGATCAAAAATAGGAATCTAGGTTCTTGTTTATCATTACAAATTGTGAATCAACATAAGTTTGTACTGGAAGCAGTGGATTGTTCTATAAAATTACCAACTGTGTGCTTAAATGACATCAAACTCCAAAAATCAAACTGCCCAAGTGGATACTACACCACGAGTATCCTGACTGGCAACATACTTGCTATGGATTTGAAAAAATAACTTCATCCATGTGGAAAATGTTTATAAAAATAAACCTATGATGATAAATAACGCGGATGTAAATTATGTTTACCAACACATCATGAATATTGATAGCATTTTTGATAAATGCTGGATCGGTTTGGAACATGTTAACGATACTTTTATTTGGACTACAGGTATGCCTGTAACTTTCCTCAATTGGAATATCACTGAAAACTATATATATAATTATGGTCTAATTGATTCTAATGGTTTTTGGAGTTTATGGAGTCCTACGGCTGAATTAAATTGTTTTGCTTATTATGTAGAAAACACTATTCAAGAACCAGAAATCGTGTTGAAGTTTTATCCAAATCTTGAACTTTTAGAATTATCTATATATGCTCCTGAATCATTATACGTAGTGGATGGAATTGGTGTACATTGTTTTGCAGGATCTAGTTTAATTTCATATAAAAAAGTGGAAATTGGAAATCTCATTTGGGACAGTAATTGGAGCGGAGACTATTTTATTGTTAAAAGAAAAGTTCTGTATGAAGTCATGTTGGAAGATTATCCAGATAATTATTGGTGCGAAGGTTTCACCTTAAATAGTGGACAGTTGATTAGCACAAATCAAATTTACGCATACAAAAAATTTTATCCACACATGTATTCGCTTTTGTGGGAAATGCCAACGGAAATGTTAAACAAGATTGCTGAAGACAAAGATTTTTTATTAGAATTATTTCCTAATATCAATGTTAAAGATTACCGTGTACAACAAATTTTAGAAGTAACCAAGTATAAAGTTACCACAATTGTCCAGATGATTCTAAATGGTGATATAACAATTAAAACAAGTGATGCTGATATTATCCATTCGTATGAAATAGCTCAAGAAATTGTCAGAGAAATTAATAAACATCCTGATGTAAATATTCAAGGCATGAACAATACTTTATACTGTATTCCTGATCAGTATATATTCTCATCATATAAGGGCATCCAGTGGCCTGTGACAAAATTAGATCACCGAGCAACAACATCAGAACTTTGTCTCCAAGAAAATGGTTTACCAATATACAGATGTTGCGTTGGTGATGTTATTTTTGGTTCCATCTGGAAAGAACCAACTGGATTTTGCAACAGTTCCATTGCACCTTCTTCTACAACTTCTGGACTATTTGATATAAATGCGAAACATGGAGAATTAATAAACTGTACAGACTGTATCACGGATGAAATTTTTAAAATCATTTTCAATGCCGAGTCTATCATCCCAGCAGATATTTACTACCTTGGTTTGATACTTGAAAAGGTTGCGTTGAAATCGAATAAAGATAAAATGTTCAATAAAAGAAAAATTGTAACGGATATTATATCTAAAATAGCTCAAATTAATAGCACTAGCATTGCTTTATCCCAAATTGCATTAAATTCGACAAATATTATAACAGATTCTATAAATCGTTTGTTGGAAGTCATACCAATACAAGATGACTTCTTAAATGATAAAGATGATGGTGTAATTTTGATAAGATCATCCGAATTTATATGTCAAATTTCGAATCCCAGCATCAAAAATGTATCTGGAATTGCTTTGATTAAGAAAAACGCATCCAGTATTGGAAATTTAGATGACTACGATTTAATGACAATATCATCCCACCAAACTTTGGACAAATTAATGCAAATCGAAAACTTAGAACTGCTGACATGGGTTCCAGATAAACTCTTAGAAAGAATTAATGATACGACATACAACAAAACAGGTTGCAATATATCAATAATCATAACAATTTATAACAGTGATGTATATTTCAAGGAACGGCGCACAAATTTTTTTGCGGATAAGGTGGTGAGTGTTTCAATTCCACATTACGGTCCAAATTTACCAATTCCTTTAACAATTTTATTTCGTCAAAACTTTGAGAATTTTATATCCCCAGTTACAAATGTTTCATGCAACTACTGGAATTATCAACCAAAGTTTGATATGTATAATAACTTTGGAGAATGGTACAATGATGGTTGTTTTCGAACCATGGAACACGAGAGTGGAAAATATAATTTGACGGTTTGTGAATGCTCGCATTTGACAAATTTTGCACAACTTGTTACTGGGAATACAAAATTAACACCTAACACTGAAGAAACCCAACACGAGAAAAATTTGAACATGATAACGATGATAGGTTGCACATTGTCTATTATTGGTCTGACTGGAATTTTTATAATGGCCATTGTATATAAATCGTGGCGTAGAAAAACTGGGATTAAAGTTTTGTTGCATTTGTCTTCTGCAATATTTATAGAAATGGTTGTAATTTTAATCATGAACGTTGGGATTGTAAATATTTCCGAAGAAGACATTGAATCTCCTGGTTATAGCTTGCAAGAAACTTGTTGCGTTGTTTTGGGCAGTATTTTGCATTACATAGTGTTGGCATGTTTTTGTTGGATGGTAATTATTGCTTACATGCAGTATTTGAGGTATGTTAGAGTTTTGGGTATAATAAGACCGGCTAAATTTATGCAGAAAGCTGCAGCAATTGCTTGGGGTTGTCCTTTTGCCCCAGTATTACTACTTTTGGCAATAGATAAGGGTAACTACATCCCACAAATTGTATCAGAAAACGCAATTTGCTATCCTTCGGGGATAGCTTTATTTATTACGGTTGTAGGCCCTATAGCCGTCATGATTTTAATAAACATGATCTTTTACACTTCGGTTTTGATAGCAATATTTCATAGACCAAAGAATGTAATTAAGAAAAACCATTATCCAAGTTTAATTTCTGCTCAATTGCGATTATCGATTTTCTTATTTTTTCTGCTGGGCTTGACATGGTCGTTTGCATTAGCAGCAGCTTTAGATGCTGGTATTGTATTTTCGTATTTATTTTGTCTAACTGCGACATTACAAGGTTTTATTTTATTTATTTATTTTGTTATTGTGGACCCAGCAACAAGAAATTTGTGGAAATGTTGCGGAAAACCGGACACTGTAGACTCAAATACGTTTTAAAAAATAATATAAATTTATAATTATCACGCCTTAAACAGATAGAAAAGATTGTAGATTGTTTGGTTGCAAATAATTTTGGTTTTGTTCTCTAAACACTAAATTTTGAACAAAAGCACCAATGTTGCATTCATATTACATAAACAGCAGTTTAAAAATACAATAAATAAATATCTGATCATCACTGATTCTAAATTATAAATACTGCAGCAGGCTACTGTGAAAGATGATTTTCCCTTAAATTTAAGTGCAAAAACTAAATATGTCTAAATTAATTTTTACAACTACATCTAATAAAATTATAATAATTAATAACTGATAATTTCTATTACCTGTCGTTTGTGAATTAGCAAAAACATAAAACTTTTGCACAGAAACACACATCCACTAGATTTAAGTTATGACTTGGATAAGAGAGAAATAAGATCTCCTCAACGACTTCAACATCTGATACAAAAGATGCCCTCTGACAAGGGCGACCATTATGGATCCAAGATGCAAATAAGAAGAGATTCCAGTGGCGTACCTAGAAAATGAATATATAAATAAATATATTTAGAGATTTTTATAAAATTTATAAAATATTGTGTAAAATACCCATTAAACCTAATTTTGAAAATCTGTTTATTAAACTGCCAAATTTTAATGTTTTAATCAAAACTTTACTGAGAGTTTAGAAATTCTAGTATATTACACAAACTTTAGATTCTTAAAAATTTAAATACAGTATGAATAAAATTTAAATATATATTGCTATAACCTGTGAATATATACAAATATCTAGTATATTACTAAATACATATTACATATTAATCAAAATTGTAAATGTATGATAATAAGATCTTTAGAAATTCGAATATTGTATAAATTTTTACATTTTTCAAATACAAATACTATTCAAATAGAATTATCTAAATTATTAATGCAAATGTCTATAACAAATATAACGCAATTATCGAAACTTTACCTATTGTTCATTTTGCAACTAAGAATCTCATCAATATTATTTTAGAACTACATTCCTTCGAACTGCTGAAGGAATAATGTATTTTTATTTCAATTTGTTCGATTAAATTCCTAAAATTAATAATGTAAAGAATAAAAAATATACTGAATACTAACCAGCAATAATATTTAATAACAGTAACATAAACTAAGTTGTTATTTAATACAGCATATTGAGTATTTTGTATCAACTCAGGTGATGTAATAAATTATGATTTATATTGCCTATATTTGATAATTTTTTTTAATAATAATTTTTTCTCCAAGTACGTCTCTGGCTGGACATGACAAACCAAAGTGCCAGTAATGCAATAATGAGATCGTTTTTGATTCATTCAATTAGATCTCCTTAAGTAATGTTATTGTGGTGCCTCCTGGCAAATATCAATTGAACCGTTTTGCTATGCAGGAAGCCACTAAATTGTTGAATGCCGATCAACAAATTGAGACCCATCCAATATAAGATAAATGTCTTTTAAATAAGTTAATTGTAGGTTGACTAGGCTAGGAAAATTCTGAGAAACTGAATTGATTTAGCCAAAATCTTATTTACTAACAATCTTTTGATCTTCAAGCTCTAATTTTCATAATGGTGTAGGTAATAATATAGTTTTTACCATTAAATTTTTTTACCAAGGTGTTTCAAGGAATAAGATGTATCATTCTACTATTGTTTCGACTGCATAAAACATTCGAGGATAAATTAAATGTTTATTGCTTCGTCACGAATCATAAAATCTAAAAATATTATACTATTGTATTGACGATAAGGCGAAAAACAATGCAAGTGGTGCAACAAATTCGCAAACTGTTGACCAATTTATAAAAAACATATTAAACATATAGAACAAATATTTATAAAATATATATTAAACATTTCATCTTTGACCAAATGGTCGATATTTAGGTATAGGATTTGAATTAGTGGTCTTAGGTTCGATACCCGCCTCGGACAGATATCAGTATTGATGTTCATTTGCATACATACACAAGTAAAAAATACTAAAAATTGTATTAATTCAAATATTGACTGCTAAAAATTATTTTGAGTAATAAAAAATTATTAATTTTAAAATATGAATGCCTAATGTAAAGGAAATTTTGGCTTCAAAAAAGCGATTTTTATCCACAAAAGTTGCAATTGCAGTTGTTGAAATAAACTTTTAATATAATAAATTTGTGATAATTATGTTTTAAAAAATAGTAATTGAAATGTGCGCTTCATAATATCTATTTCAATAACAAATATCAATAAAATTTCTCATGCGGGCTGAAAGTTTTACAATATTTCAAAGAGTTGATAAGTTCTGCTAGTATTGTTCTATAATTTTAAATTATGAGTTTACTATTTCATGTTGAATGGTTTACAAATAGAAAACTGACTTGCTAAATAGATTTGATTTTAATTTAATCAATAAACAGCTGCAACAAATTTAAAATTAAAAAATTATAAATATAGAGTATCATTATTATCAGTTGCAAAAGAAAATGTCCAAAATTAAATCCATAATAATAGACATTTAAGCTAATTTTGGTTCTTAACATGTGATTATTACTATTGTGCATTATGTTTTAGTGACAAATTTAAATTTGTTAATAAATTTTTCATCCAAAATGGAAACATTATCCTTCAGAGATCCTTGTACAAGATCCGTGGAATTTACCAATGGTGAATCCAAGTTAAAAAGAAAAGGACTTTACATGACAAAATTTACATTCTTTTTAACCACATTAATTTTAATGTTGATTTCTGTAATTGTTGGATTTACAGTGCATTATTTGAGTACTTGCAGATTGACAGAGGTAACAATAATAAATAATAATTAAAAATAATAGACGGTTTTCGAAAAAATATGACCACAAATAAAATTATTATTTTTTTTTTTCTATTATAGATTCCGAAATCGCCTTCAGATACAAACATAGACTGGAATGAATTAATTTTGCCAAAAAATATAAAACCATCATACTATCGTCTTCTAATCCGGCCATCATTCGATTTATACGACAATGTGTACAAATATGAAGGAACAATTTGGATAACACTATCAGCCCAAAATTCAACTAAACAAATCGATTTAAATTCCAAAGATCTAGCAATAACAAAAGCCACTATTGTGGACAACAAAAAGATTTTAAACAGCGATAAATTACAAATGCCATTTGAAGAAGATGAGTATAACGAATCCAAAATGAGTTTGATTCCAAAACTTGTAAAATATTTCCAATTGGGCGACTTTATGTATGATGATTTAACGTCAACTCCTGATTCCACAATTGTGACTTCAGAAAATCCAATGGAGTCTACCATTAGTTCAAGATTGACAATGGGATCTACAACTTCTGCAAAAATGACAAGTGAAGATATGACGATGATGAATATTTTGGAACCGATGGAAAGTTTGAAATTTGTTATAAATGAAACCACGGAAATTGTAAGTTTTTATTTAAAAGAAGAAATGGAGCCTGGTGTGGAATATATGCTGGAGATTCTATTTTCTGGTGAAATAAAATATGAACACTCTCAGTTTTACTGGAAGAATTATATGGATAATGAAGAATCCAAGTAAGATGCATAATTACTGATATATAAATATGTATATACATATATAAATATATGTATTTCAGGCTATTGTTATCAACCAATTTGCGACCAACATTAGCCAGGAGTGTTTTTCCATGTTTTGACGAACCGACGTTTGCAGCACCTTTTGAAATTGCAATTCAACGAAAACTTAATGTGCAATCTGTTTCAAATTCTATTTTAAAACAATCTATAAACAAGTAAGTAAATATAAGAAATAAAATTCAGTTACTAGAGCCAAAGTCCAATAAATGCAATCCACTTTCATATAGAACAAATTTGTAAACTAATCTTAGACGTTTCCAAACTAATATAATTATATAGATGATTTACAAGTACCTTTATAAAAGTTAGTAATGTCTTCCAGAACTTTTAAGGTTGAAAGACTTTCTCGTTTGTCCTTCTTTTTGGTCGTTTTTCAATAATTCCAGAAATGCTTTTTTGTGACTTTGTTTTAGATAACTCCAGTGAATACATAAAATCCACCTCCAAGTCAACTCAACTTCATCAATCTAAATCCAAAATGATTCCAAATATATTTAAATAATATACAAAAAACAAGATTTTTATATTATTCATTCTACCTTTTCCAGAAACTTTGATTTAGTATGGGACTACTACCAACCAACGCCTCCAATAACGCCTTCATCAGTATTTTTCATGGTCTCCGAATTATCCAAACAAGACATCCAAATCAATGACAATAGATCTTTTACTGTATGGTCAAAACAAGAACTTGTCGAAACTGTGGCTTCCAAAATAGATTTCTTAAAATCCATATTGGAAACCTACTACAAAATCTTAGAAAGTGTTGTTCCTGAATCACTCAATTTAAATCTGGTAGTCATTCCTGGAAATTATTATAATGGCAATGCTGCTCATGGTGTAGTAATTCTAAAGTAACTGCTGATATGTAATAGTGATAAATTTGTACAAATTTTGGATGAACTTTTTTAAATTGTAGAGAAATACAACTGTTGGATTCAAATCGGGTTTCTACTCAGGAATATTTGAAATCTGCCAAAATTATATCAAGACAAATAGCACGTAGTTTGCTAATTAGTATGGTAAAAATAAACGATTTGTCAGACATCTGGATTCCTGAAGCAATATTTAAATATTTAGACCAAATGGTTATATCTACGGTAAAAATTTTTAATTTGAACATTATATAAAATCAGGATTATATAAATTTTTAATTCAACCAGATTGAACCGTCGCAAATGATGATGAACGGATTTTTGGAAAATGTAGCTCTGATGGAAATGGATTCTATGAGTTCTGTTTCACCACTTAAAAATGCTTTTTCTAATATTTTTCAAATACGAAACCAAAATTATGACGTGTATGTGAATAAAGGTGAGTTATTATATAAAATAAATATTTTTAATTTATTATAATTATTATTATCATATGGAAATTTATAATTAGGAGTGGCACTGCTGAATATGTACCAAAACGTATTTGGAGTCGAAAATTTTATGGAAATACTTCGAAGTTACATAAACGAAGTGTGAGTTACATTTATTTATGCTCCTGGAATATATCCAAAAAAGTTATTCTTATTTTTGAACAACTATCAGAACTTAACAGATTTATTTTCTTTTACGTGAATACATCTTTTAAATATTAATTATCATTTTATTTAGAAATCCAACAGATACATCTAACTTCTGGAAATTTCTGAACAAACATTTGACTGAATCGATAAAAAGTAATAACCCACAAACGAGTTTTGTGGACGCCTGGATTACCAGCAACGGATATCCAATAGTAAACGCTACTATTAATCTATCCAGTGGCAGTATAACATTATATCAGGTACTGATAATGATGAAATATTCAATTTTCTAAAATTTATGATATTGTCTTCCAATATTCCAGAACAAATTTTCAGAGAAGTATCCAACAAATTTTTCCTGGAATATTCCAATTTCATTTACTTCATCTCATTCTGATCCAAAATGGTCTGGAACAGTACAACATTGGATGATGGATAAAAATTCTAAAATAATGGATTTGGAAGGGAGTGAAATCGAATGGATAATATTAAATGATTTGAGATCAGGTAAAATATTAATTTTCAGTCATTATACAACCATCAACAAAGTTAGGAAAAATTAGAATTACCTAAAATTAGACCTAAGATACTGCTAATAAATGTTATTTACTATCATTGAATTTTATATCAACAAACTAGTTAGAATAATGATTTTTCACAGGTTATTATAGAGTCAACTACGATGAAGAAACATGGACTCTTATTTTAGATATTTATAAAACTAAACCAGAAGATCTTGGTGAAATAACAAAAGCACAACTTTTGGACGATGCTTTTAAGTTAGCCTTGAACAACTATATATCAATAGATATTCCTTTGAATATGACCAAAAGTTTAGGTACAGAAGAGTCACTAGTTGTTTGGAAAGTGGCTATGGCAAATATTAAAATTCTTGAAAACATCATGAGATTTTCACCAAATTATGGTGACTTTAAGGTAACATACCTTAGATGCTTCTAAAGTAATATATTGCGAAAATTGAATATAGTAATAAATATAGCTCTAGCTTCTATTTGGTTTAGAAAGTATATTTATATTTTTAGAACTATATGCTATCAATCCTGAGCCCAATATTCAATAATATTGACCCAACACAATCAAAATCAGCCTTAGAAGCCTTGATTTACAGATGGACATGCCATTTTGGAAACAACGATTGCACAACGTCTTCACAAAAATTAACTACTGAATTAATCGAAAAAGAATTCTCAAACGATTTGTAAGAGAAGAAAAATAATTTACTTATCATAATTTAAAAAATATATATTTATAACTATTTTTAGTATTGTCGTCGATTTTCAAGAAAGTATTTTATGCGCAGCTGTAGAAAATTCTGATTCGCTTGTGGAAAATATTTTCCAAGCTTTTGGAAATGTGAATTCTCATAAGAAAATTGTTTTGCTGAAAAGTTTAGCGTGCACAAAGGAGCAATGGATTTTAAATAAGTATGATAATAAATTATTGTGTTAATTAGTAGTTACTTTAAGACATGAGAAAAAGGTTATAAATATTTGTTTTATTTTTACAGACTATTTGAAAAAATCATCACTACATCCGAATTTAGTAACGATGATATATTAGAACTTTTGGATAATTTTGAAGATCCTGAAATTAGTAAGAATATATTGAGGATATTAAAGGATAACTGGCAAATGATCTATATAAAATTCTATAAACATGATACAATAATACGCAATTTCATAAAAGTGTTGGACAAATTAAATCACATCGACGATTTCATAGAAGTGAGTATATAGGAAATGATCAGAAATATTTAGTAAAAATTTGTAGATTTTTTTCCTAAAACTTTCATTCCTATGATTAATTTATAAGTCGTTTAAATTTCACAAAAAATCGAGGAACAAGTATCGAGTTGTGAAATTATTCTTTTTTTTAAATCGCGCCATGTATTAAGCTAATCTAAGCAGTAGCTTTTTTACAGATTATATTACATAATTAATTATTTCATTATCACCATCTGATGTTCAAAAATATTCTCTCAAATTCAATGCTGGATTATATTTCTAATAGTTTTTATTTATTTCAGTATAAAAAATTCATCAAAGCAAATATAATCACAATGAACTCACAACAAACATTGGCAATTGTGGAAGAACAAATAGCTCGTAATATAGAATATAAATATAAATATTCTGTTCCAATTTCAGAATGGATATCGTATAATAAAATAAACTAAATAATTATTTATAAGTTTAAATATAACATTTTGTTTTTGTTTGTACTTTTGATGAATAAATATACTACTATTAAAATTTTGTTTCTGTCATCGCAAAGTGGCAATATATATTTTTGTATGAATATTTCTTATTTATTAATTTTATAAAATTTTATTACTGTTATTATGTTTTTAATGGAAACATATTTACAACGTTTGGCTAAACAGATTTTGTGCCCCAAAAGAATAAATACAAGGATTTTTGCGAAGGCTTTTGGTACTGAATATGTGGAAGTGGAACATGATGAAGAAAAAAATAGATTTACTGTTAGGTTTGGAGAACGTAAGGATGTATTTTTAGATTAAATTTTTATTTAAGGAACAAAATGTACAAATGTGTTCCAAATTCCCAATATGTGTGAATAATCGATATAGTGAGTAATAATTGGTATTTAGCCACTCCAACTGAGACGATGTGATTTTCAATAGGCTATTTAGAAAATAAAGTTTATTCTGAACTTTAATGAATTTTTATAAATAAACCACTTACCGCAAGCCTATAATATTTTAGGAAAAATTGTATCCATTTTTTTTAACAATTCGAAGAACTGGTTTAACCAATTTTTACCAAAACTAACCAGTACGATTTCCACCTGAAGCCTTTTAAACAGGCTTTGAGTTTTCAAAATGGGTTCAGAATTTCTTGCTAAAAATGAGACAAAAAAGAAACAGTATACATATGTATATATATATATATATAAATATATTTTTTTTAATAATTACAGGTAAAGCTGTCCTGAAGTACTCAAAGGACGAAACGACAATAAACGTCCTTAAAGTCTACGTACCCGAGGACCTCAGAGGTCGAAGGGTGGCACACGTTTTATCCCAAGTAATTTTATTTATAATTAAATAATAAAAAAATATATTTTAAATATATTTTTTCAATAATTACAGGCTGCCTTGGATTACATCGCAAGCAATAACAAAAAAATGATAATGACGTGTCCGTGGTTCAAACAATATGTAGAAACTTTGGCCCCGGAGTACAAAAAATATTTGGCCAAAAAATAAATAAAATTTATGAGTATTTTCTAACTTTAAAAATTAATTTATGTATTTTGATATTGTTAAAATTATATTTAAATAAATATTTTTCTAAAAAAGTAAAAGTTGTTTGAACATTTTATAGTTGTCATCGTACAAATTATAGAAAATCATAAAAATATATACAGAAGACATAAAAAAATCATTAAAAAACCACCACCAATTTATTTCAATAAATATCTCTATCACGTACCTGTATTCCTTTAGAGTACCTGATTTCCTAAATATATAAAAAATATTCAGATATCTTCTCAAATTTTATTAACTCCTCAAATATACATGGAAGACAAATCTATCCTCTTTGGCAAGGCACGTTTCATTTAAAATATTGAAGGAATGTAAGTAAATAATGTATTTATCGAGAAAATCGTTTCTTCTTTTTGGGAAAAATAAGTACCTAGAAAACTTAATATTTTTTTAATTTACATAATTCCAATTTTATCATTATTTTCTGGAATCATATTAACGATTTTCCTTTGAGGCATGCACCACATTTTGTGATTGGTTCCGAAAAGATGTGCCTCTGCTAAAGTTTCAGGTAATCTTTTATATAAAGTCTCAGGTAAAAATAGCTCGCAAAGAACCCCCATCAAAGACACTAAGGACATCACCAGATAAGGATAACTTATGTGGTATTGAGTGCCCTGGAAAAGAAAACATGACCAGGAATTACACAATTTTGTACTTACGAAATCATGTTTGTTTTTTTTTACCAGTAGTATTATGAATGGTCCAAGTACTCCCATGGCATTTGATACAATAACACTTGTTGAAATTCCTGTTTGTCTCAAACAAGTTGGATAAATTTCCATTGCTTGAAGATTGACAACGTAAAATGTAATACTGATACAAAATCTCATAAAAGTTGCCAAAGCTAAAACTGACCATGTGGATTCTTGAACTAAGAAGAAGGAAATCAAAATGTTAATGCCAGAAGAATTATAAAAGAATATTGAATTAGAAAAATAGTGCCTGTATATTGTATGTATATTATTTTTTTACCATTCAAAAGTGCAAATTGCGTAGTGGCTGTTATAGATGCAAGACAAAAAAATCCTAAACCAGTCCACCTCCGTCCAATCCTATCACAAGCATATCTTCCCAACAAATATGCAGGAATTTCTACCATGGATTGCCATAAAAAGTTTAAAAATGGATTTCCGCTCATGTTACTAATATTTAATATCAAAGTATACAAACAAACCACAGATGAGATCCTGCAATGGCATAAAAATAGCATAAATATAACTTAATTTGTGTAATTATTTTTTTATATTTTACCAGCAGCCAGTCATCAGTATAGTATTTTTGGCTAGTCTTACAGATGAGAATAGACTCATCATTCCGTAGACTTTTTCTGGTTTTTGTGACGTGTTTTTCTCAAGAAATGTCAATACTTCGTCGCTTATACAAGTTCCATTTATTTTGGCTATTTTTGTTAATTCTTTGAGAGCACGCTCTTGTTTTCCTCGGCTCGCCAACCATCGTGGAGATTCTATTATATATCTGGAAACAAAAGTTGTATACAAATATTTAAATATTATATTTTTTTACTAATTTATTACTAGTACTAACTTGTATCCAAAAAGTACCAGGCCACAAGGTAAAGTTGTGATTAACATAAAAGTAGACCAATCTCCTACAGCCCACATTATCAAAGGCATAACACACATACCAATTGTCCAGGCAATGCATTGAATAACTGCTATATGTGCACGATCATCTCTTAAAAAAACAGATATATAAATAAAAAATCATGTGGAAAAAGCATTACAAGCAGACAATACTGGCGCAAAAAATAATTTGATAATATCAGCATGGATTTCAATGTTCTTATCCCTTACCCATGTGATATTTCCATAGAGATGACCAAAGGGCATTGGAAAATAGGAGTGATGCTCAAGTTTCCCAAGGCTGCAGCCAGCAGGAAAAATGAGTACCATGATGAGGTGAGTGCAGACAAGACACGTCCAGTTATTATGGTTACGATGCTGATGTAGAACACTGGCTTCCTTCCAATACTGAAAAAATATACATGTACCTCTATACACAAAAACCATTCTAGGTCTACCAATCGATATATTTTTCATAACATATGTATAATTTTATACTATTTGAGTTTAAAATTCATTTCACGAAATAATATATCAATAGTGATCTCACCATGACACTTAACGACGAGTCGTTAAAACGATATGCTAAAATTAAAATTAGCATTCCAGTTTATGCAAATTTTGATTGAAAATGTGACTAACATATGTTTGAATGATAATATTTCACCTAACGCGATCGTCAATGATAAAATATGATAGAATTTAATTATTGAATCGAGGTTGAAGTTCAATATCATAAATAAAATTATATATATTTATATATATATATATATATATATATTATATATATATATATATATATATATATATATATATATATATATAGTAAATGTTTAAATAATTATGAAACCAATTTGCCACATGCAATATAGTGGAAAAATCCATTTCAAATCATACTAGTTTTGCTTAGTATATCATATTTATTTTAAAAGTTTTGCTTGATACTTTGACATTACATAATACATAATTTCTATAACTATGTTTATATGCAATTTCATCTCATTTATTTATTATGCAGTTATATCCAAATTGAAATACAAATTTTTATTTATTATATATAATAACATCCTAAATTAATCTTAATCCTTAATATTAGTCATTAATATTAATGAAATTAAATGCAACTTAAATTAATTTTAATACTTCTGAACCTTAGGATTATTTAGGCGAAAATATTAAATATCAGGATGAATTTTGTTAGTAAATATTTCATTAAATGCAAAAATAAGAGTTTCTAACATACAGTGTTTTAAGTTTGATGTGTTCGAGTTATTAACGGATTTAATTTGAATTTAATATAATGAAAATAATTTTTTTGATAGAATGCTAGTCTAAGGTAGTAGTTTAGATAATATTAATAACGTATTTGGCACAATTGTTCAAAATTGTATTTAAAAAAACATTTTACAACTTTGAAATACTCTACAGCATCCGGGTATATTTTTAGAATATGTTTTAAAAATAGAAAATCAATCTGAGCGTGCTAATAGTGCGTTGACTTTTAATATAATTTATAAATTTAAAACCATGAGATTAATCATTTCATTTAATACCAATGAAATATTTAAAACTTGTATTCGAAATTGTTTTAATATAATTTTTCTCTTCTCTACAAAAGAGAGTTGTTGTAGAATCAATTTTTCAATAAAGATCTCGTCTTTTACGATGCTTTTAATTATACAATTTATTTATTTATTTGAAAGATTTGTATAATTTATGTTATGACTTTTTAGCTTATTTACAAACTCGAAGTTATCTCTAAAATCCAAATGTCGAAAATCAATCCAAGGCTACGACATGTCATGAAACGTTATCATGATGCAATTCGTCATTTTTTGCTACAGGTTTGCGATATCATATCACTTGCTAAAAAAATGGGCAAATTAGCACATTTTTTAAAGCAAAAAACCGAATATACATCTATGAATAATATCCGCTGATAGTTCTTATTTCTTGTTTGTAAATAACACGCAAAATATCCTCATTAATTGAATGAAAACGGAAAGTTTAGAACATGGAAACAGGAAAATGTTTAGTATACACATTCGATTAAAATACTGCTTGTGAGCGGTAAAATTGTACCTGATTCAGTTTTTTTGCTAACAAAAACTGGAAGCGTCCATTAATCACGTTGGCGAGTTTTTAAGGATTTTTGGACTCCCCCTCCCCCTTGGTGATACGTGGTGATATTCAAAATTACAACCCCTTCCCCACCAAACATCACGTGTATTTTTAGTTGCGTGATAAAACTGTGAAATTTCGAATGTTTTTTGACATTTTTTGATTTTTTTTTAAAAAATC